CCTCAAATCCTACCGTTGGTAGCTGCTATCTCATCCAGATCTCAACAAGTGTTACTTTTTCCTGGCTGAGCTGGGAACCCCTTGGAGAAGACAAGGTTACATGTTTTTTTGCATTTATCTGTTGCAAACTTGGTTCCAGAATATCCCAAATTTCCTTAACTTTAAACTTCTAAAATCCAAAATCCGCCCCCCCAAACCCGAAGTAATGGCAATAAACCCATAACCCTAAACCCATAATCCTAAACCCTACAGAGCACAGTCTGCCCAAATTATTCTAAACCATGAGACCCGAAACCCTTAACCCTACATAACCCCATATACCCCTATATAACCCTATGTTTCCTGTAGGTTCCATGTTATTTTCCATTATCCCTATATACTCCTATATAACCCTAATCCCTGTAGTTTCCATGTCATTTTCCATTATCCCGATATAACCCCTTAGCCCCCCCTGAAAGAGCTGCGTCCTCCTGCGAAAGGAAGGGGTATCCTGCTTCAGCAGGTCCCCGGAAGAGGACTACGTCATCCTAAGAACACATTTTGAGGGTTTAGGGTCTAGGTTTAGGTTGGGTACTGCCCCCACTCACTAGCAGTTGGATAATAATGATAATAGGGTTATATATAGCCCTTAACATGACCCCTAATATAGACTGTTACTGGGAGGGGGCAGTACCCAAGGTTTAGGGTTTAGGGCTGTACCTGGACACTACAGCATGTAGAATACTTGCCTGTTGGTCCCATTTGAAATGTTGAGGCCATCATCTAACTAGTTTTGGGGTCCAGGTAGCGCTCGGGGTTTGCGGCTCGTCTTAAGTCTTAAGGTTTGAGCTTACTGACAGGTGTCCCAAACTGCCGTGTAGGGAGTGGAAAAGGATGTTCTGAAGTTCAAGAGCGATTTTGCATCGACATCTCCCAAGAGCAGCAGTTCCAAGCATCAGGCAAACAGAGGATTCTCGCAAGTCATGAGGACAAAGCAGCTATCAACTTGGCACAGGATCTGCTTTTTTACCTAGAATCCTAATACTATGGAAGGTGGATGCTTCAGATCGCAGAACTGAAAATGAGAGCTTGAGAAGCTGCGTGATCTGCCTGAACCCACTGGAGCCACATAGTTTTTTTGCACAATTAATGGTCACCCTTCCGTACCCCAGATACTTGAATCGTTGCTATAATTATTGGAGCTCGCAGGAAGGGCTTCCAATTCCTGGAAATCCCATTTCTTATTGGTGGTAAGCGGAATAAGGGAAAATAATCATAATCCCTAAAACACCACTAAAGAACAATATTCCCTTATTGCCTACTAACCCCCAGTAAGTGAGATTGGCGCCGTGGAGCCGCCACGATAATCGCGGGCTCGTGGATGTGGCAAAGCCTCTCCTTTGCAGTTTGTCGGGCCTGGGCGCCGCGGGGTTTAGGGTTTAGGGCTTAGGCCAGGCTCTACACCAAGATGAAGAGGCTACATTACACAGGCAGAAGGAAGAATAAAGACGCAGCAAACGAATTTGTCAGCCCGTCGTAGGGATCGCGAACAGACTAACAGACTAACCATAACCCCTATAAGCCCCTATACAATCCCAGTTTCCAGTTCATTTTCCATTTCCCTTTCCATTTGATTCTCCACTCTTGGGGGGGTAATATAAGCTAGGTCCCCAAAAGGTCAGAAATTCTTTGTTTGCTTGGCCACCATCCCTCTACCGCGGAAGAGCAGCAACAAACCAACCCAAGGACCCTGCCTACTTTCCCAAAACTAGGGGTATTACCCCCAACAGTGGAGAATCAAATGGGAGAGGAAATGGAAAATGAAATGGAAACTGTGATTATGTAGGGGGTTATAGGGGTTATAATTAGGGGGGAGGCTCTCCATAACAAGGATTTTTTAGTTTCTTGTGGTCTATATCCCCCCTACTACAGGGGCCTAAATGATTACCAATATCAATTTGAGGTGCATTTGAGGTACCATAGACCATAATCATATAAGTACTATGGAACCATAGTATTGGTAATTTTTTAGGGCCCCTATATTACAAGCTTGTTTGAGATTGTGAGATGCTCGTGACGGAACGTTTCTAGACACTGCCAACAGGACTTCACTCCGTAGACTTAGATGAGCCATAGGCTTACATTTTAAGGTTTCCCAAAATTAACCCCAATAGTGGAGAATCAGATGGATAAGAAAATGGAAAATGAAATGGAAACTGGGATTATATAGGGGGTTGTGGGGGTTATCGTTACTAGTATCCCCCTCAATAACCCCTGTATACTCCCCTATATAATCCCCCTTTAAAGGAGTTTAGACTACAGGTCGGATATGATCTTTATGGCGCTCTTTTTCCGCCGCTTTGCTGTCAGGTGGATAGGATTGAAAGGGCGAAGGCTTCGGTTGCTATGAATGTTGCTGAGGTGCCTACGGGAATGTTCAAGAAAGCTGTCACTTCACAAAATAGGGGACCCCAAGATAAACCTCAATATAACATAATTTGGGCCCTGCCCCCACCCATTTACAGTCTATAAGGGGTCATACTAAGGGCTACTTATATTTATGTTATGAATATTCTCAAGCTGTTAATAAGTGGGGCAGTACCCAAAGCATAGTCCTTATTATGGGGACCCCCCAAAAAAAGGTACCCCTCATTTTGGAAGACCCCCAGCTGTTGTGTTTCCTAAGGGGCCCTCAGGGTTTAGGGTTTAGGGTCCACGGAGGCCAGGATACACCGGCTTTCCAACCAAAATCTGGCACAAACACTATGTGATCCATATTTTAAACCCTTTGAAGGGGGTCATATCAGGGATAGTATAGGGGACTACTATAGGAGTCCTTAAGTGGGATACTAGGAGCCTAGACTATGGCTCATGAAGAGAAGATTGTAGTTGTAGGATTATGTAGAGATCATGGAAAAGAAAAGGGAAACTACCATTTGGGGGTAGGGTTTGCGGATCTCACGCGCTATTTTCATGATGCTCAATATTCCAGATGACATTTTTGGCATGCCACACTTGCCGAACAATCCCAAAACGCGCTATCATAATTTCACAGGCTAGTTCAGCTCTTCATGAGCTTGCACCACAAACCTGGCTTAACCCTAAACTCTTAGCCAAACCTTAAGGTCAACATACACTAGGTTGGCGCCCAGCCACAAGCACTGAGCAAATTGAAATACTTCATAATCCTGAGTGGGCGTCCTCCTTTTGGTATATGCGCAATACTAACTACACCTAAGGGTAAGCTCATTTGAGCTCGCTATAAGTTGCCCAGGAATAGCAGCATGCTACTATAAGCACAAGTATCCCCTAAACCCACCTCAGAACCCCATGAAAATCGTAATCTTTGGTTGTTGGTAGGATTATAACAACCAAAATTAGAGATGATTTTGTAGGTCCCTACAGTCCCTTGTGGTCTCTGCTAATGGATGGCGGCCTGTCCAGAAACTATTTTAGGATTTAGCGGTTTAAGGTTTAGGGTTTTAGGGTCGAGGGTTTGGGGTTTAAGGTTTAGTCCCCTGCCCTCCTGCCTTCGCGCAAAGTAGATTCGCTGCTCGGGCAGTGAAAACCTCAAGATCACATGGGTGATTCGCAAAATTAGGGTCCCACTTTCATACGCTTAGATATTAGGTGCCGCAATATAATCCATAATCCATAACCCGAAGGGGCCTATAATTTTGAGATAAACCCAAAGCGTTTATGCCTGCTAGCCTTAATGGTTGCGAGTAGTGCCTGGAGGAATGGAGCCTTATCGGAGGTTCTCTATGAGCTCCAGGACTGATGGTTTTTCCTTCCTTCGCTGCTAACAACCAGCATATGAGCCATATTCTAAACTCCGAGCATCCCCCTTTATAATCCCTATACTACTCCCCCATATAACCCCCTATATAACTCCCTTCAAGGAGTTTAGACTATAGCTCATATAGCTGTAAGCTCAGGTTGAGGGAACTACCTGATCTCAGCTCTAAACCAAGGTGTGCGGCCTAAGGCTCTTCTGACCTTGGTATCATGATTCCGTGGCCTAACAGCTTGCACAATAAGACTCTGACTGCTGAGCCAGCCTATAGTCCCCTTTTAGTAGATAGAATATGGAATATGGGGTATATGGGGATCTGTTCATAATATACCCAAAACCATATTCTATCTACTTCAGGAGGACTGCAACCCTAAACCCTAAACCCTATTTTCTATCTACTGAAGGGGGACTATAAGCCCAAAATGAAACTGCCAAGGCTCAAAGTTTGAACACAGGAACATCTCGTGCTGCTGCAAGCTCCGCGCCTTGCTGCAACATCAACCATAGGGTTTAGGGTTTAGGGTTTAGGGGTTAGGGTTTAGGGGTTTAGGGTTTAGGGGTTTAGGGGTTTAGGGATTTAGGGGTCCAACTCTTTAAGGGGGGATTAAGTAGGGGAGTATTATAAGGGCTATCAAGGGGATACTAGGAGTTTAGACTATAGCTCATATAATGTACTAGCCTAAGTGCTTACAATAAGTGCAGCATTAGATGGAAAGTCAAATTGGGGTGAAATCACAACTCGGTTCACGTAGGGCTTCTTAGGTATTGTGGGCCTACTCCATCAGAGTAGAGCAATATTGGTAATATTCAGGCTTCCACAGTCTAGTTCAGCATCTACCCTCCAGAGCTCCAGGGGACAGCTACAATTGCGCAAGAGACAAACTGATTCACTGGGTTGGCCCCTAAAACCCTTTGAAAAATATTAGTATATAGGGTCCCTTATTAAAGCCATTAGGGAAAATATTAAATACCTCAGGGGCCTACCCAGTTCAGTAGGAGATAGACACAGCAGCTGCTCTGCACAATCCCTTGAAAGCTCAATACGTTAACACGCAAGCATCACTGACCCAACACCGATTTCTGCGCTGCTGTCTCTGCGCAGATCACTCCGAAGCTGCAACTGTAGCAGATGCACCTTCAGCCAATTGTGCACACATTCTCCTTAAGAGGCGCACCACACTACACAATGATACGCCCCCGCAGCCCCCTGCTCACGGTTCTCCGCTCAGCGCTTGGAGGACAATGTGCGGGAAAGCCAGTCTAGACCCTCGTATAGACCGTCGCCCGTAGTCGCGCAGGCGGACTGGATGAACCACTGACGATGGCGCAGGTTATGCAATCCAAGCTTCTCGGTGACCTCCGCTGCAGTCATCGCATTCGGCAAGTCCTTCAAAACAGCAGCAAATGTCTCTCACAGCACCGCATAGAACCAGGCTCACTCAACCCTGGCAACAGCCTGCCTGCTTGTTGGCGAAGACCAGAAGCACCGCATCACGCATCTCGTCTTCGTTCAACATCTTGTTCAGCTCCTCGCGCGCATCCTCAATGCGATCTCGGTCGTTGCTGTCAACGACATAGATCAGGCCGTTCGTGCCCTGGTAGTAGTGGCGCCACAGAGGGCGAATCTTGTCCTGGCCACCCACATCCCAAACCGTGAAGGACAGGTTCTTGTACCTCAGCATGCAATATCTAACACACAGCGCCTCAGTGCTGCTAACGGCAGCATGTCACCCTGCTGTTGTACACCGGGATGCTCCACAGTCTCTACGTTGAATCCAATCCTCAGCCGACGAGCACAGACATCATGCAGGCTGGACCTAGGTCAAGACTGGACGCTGCAACATGACATACCTTAGCGTCCAAGTCTCGTTGGGATCGTGGTGACCACCTCTCCCAACTTGAGCTTGTAGAGGATGGTGGTCTTACCGGCCGCATCCAGTCCGACCATCAAAATGCGCATCTCCTGCTTTCCGATCAGGCGCTGCCATATCTTCGTGAAAGCGAGACCCATGGCTCTAGAGCCTCTGATCACGCAAGCGGAAGGGCTGCTCAGGGAGAAGTCTTTGCAGCCAGGGCGACAATAGAACATACAATGCCTTGGTCTGGTTTAGTATACATTTATACCCGTGTATAACCCTATATGCCCTAATATAACCCTTTCTACTTTATCTGCCCTTCTGTATCCTGGTATAGCAGGTGCTCGGGGAGGCCAACGCCCAAACTACACACGGCTGCCAGGCTGGCGTCTTCACGGATGTCTCTGTCTTAAGCGACACTGCCATTCAGCCATGGGGACCAAATCTCATGCAAAGAGGAACTAATCTCACCAAGCACTCGGACACCTATGTTTATGTGAACCCTGGACTTCCGTCCCCTGACGTAATGTCCCACAACCACCCACTGACCTGCTCTCAAGCTTGACTGAAAACTTATGATCCTTTGCAGGCTGCAGGTGAAGCGTGAGACTACGAAACACTTCTTAGTGGAGCCATGCCTCACCCTCCTGCAGGCGGCCGTTGCGCATGGGGTCCTGCGTAGAGGCGCAGAGGGGGTCTAGGATAATTGCGGTCGCTCCACTTCACGCCGGCTATGCGCTGATCTCGACTACTGCCAAACAGGTGTCCAAGAGAAGCTGTCAAGGGTTCACGCGTCGAATCAGAGATGTCACACAGTGTGGAAGGCAACTTCAACAAGATCAGTGAGTTTACCTTGATATGTTTAGTCCGATAATACCACTAGAAGCAAAATTTAACTTGTAAGAAGTCTCCACGTAGTTGCCTTACTGTCCTCACATCTCATCAGACAGAGGACAGCTGCATTGAGTGATGCACCTGCCTGGGTCTCTCATAATAAGGGGTAAATGCTGGAGGAAGTTTGCAAGACCTGCAGGAGACCCCTGTGACAAAAAAAGAGAGACAAATTCTTCAAACCTGTTTATGAGATGTAGTTTGTCACCCCTGCATCCTATCACAGAAGCGCCCCATGTTTGTGGAAATGGTCGAAAAATGCAATCTTCAAGCACTTCAATCAAGCCCTTTAGGTGCCCAGCTGATGAATTACGACATTTCCGCACAGTAACTCTAAACAATAGATAAACCCTGCATAATCCTCGAGAACCACCCCTCTAATGGGAATGTCTTCAATCAAGGATACCCTCGAACGCCAAGCGGAACTTCAACATCCTCAGAGTAACAAGCGATGTAGGGTTCATAAAGCTTTTTTCAACCACACTTCAAGGGTTTCGGGTTTAGTACTAGAAATGGCAGTATTCGTAATATCTTATCGGATGCCCGCGTTTCAACATCTTGGCATGTACTGTATGACAAGATTGGATAGAGGACATCTTTTGGGAAGCCTCCACATACTGAGCCCCAGTTATCCCTTTGTTAATTAACCCTGAACCCCTAAACCGTAACTCTCAAACCCGGAACCCGAAGCCGTAACTCTGAAACCCAGAACCCTAAATCCTAAA